TTTCAGGTTTAATAAACACAAATGTAAAAAGTAGGAGATCTGGTAGCATAGTGCCTAAGGCACGTGACTGCTCACCAGAAGGCTGGCGCTTCAAACCGACCAGCCACTCCTCGGAAGGAAGGTTGGGCAATCTACTTCTGTAGTGATACCACCTGGGAAAGCCAAGGAGGGGTGGCTATGAGCTGGGTTCGGCCCTACGGCAATGGGTTTGAAGTGGAGGGGGATGAGGCCCTAGCCCTCCTGCCGCCAGTTCAGTCCAAAGTGAGCAGGGAGGGGGCGCTATTCACCAGGAATCCAAGTGGATTCAGATCCGGAACACCGCAGCGGAGAAGACCCTGCTCCTGGGGCGGACTAGGATGGCAGCGCTCAACCTGTTCCAGGTAGTGTGCCAGCATCGTAGGCAGCCACCCACCCTGGACCTGGAGGACACGGAGGGGCAGCTGGAGCAGGTGAGGGCCCAAGCACCCCCTCCAAAGAAACATCACAGTGCCGGAGATGCCGGCTGAGTGGCCCTTCTGGGAATTAAGCAGGGCCTTCTGTAGTCCCAGCCCACGGCTCCATCACTGCCTGGGGTACCCTGCTGGGGGCCCTAGGTTCTAGCCTTGAATCTGACAGTGACTCAGGCATCTGCTCTCCAGAGGGAGGTGAAGTCCCCTTGCTGGGACTCAGGGCTCTCCTTGGTGCAGGGCAGGTATCGACAGACCCCACACATTATGCCATGAGCCATTTTCCCTCCCAACGGCTCAGACAAGTGGCAGCACTGAACTAGGAGACTTCCTTTTACGTAACCCCTGACCCTCTCACTCACTCCCTGCAGGACCGAGTTTCGTTATGATCCACAGTGTTTCCATTTAAAGTAGATTGCCAGGTCTTCCTTCCCAGCCTCAGTCTGCACGCTCTGCTGACACCCGCCCCCATGGGGGACCCTGGGGATATCTGAAATACTGGTGCCATAGCTTCCAGCATCACACAGGATACCACAGTACAGAACTGACAAGACAGGTGGTCAGCTGTGCCCCTTGTTGTCATTGCTGTGTGCCGTCAATGCTGACTCACATTGACCCTATTAAACTCACTCCCGTAGAGTCGGAACCAACTCATAGTGATATGTCATTGGGTTTCCAAGGCAGTATCTCTACGGAGGTAGATTGCCCGATTTTCCTTCTGAGGAGTGGCTGGTGGGTTTGAACAGCCAGGTTTCTGGTTAGCAGTCAAATGCCTTAGGCACTATGCTACCAGAGCTCCTAGTGACCCTATAGCACAGAGAATTTCCCAGCAGGGTCTTCAGGGCTGTGAATGTTTTCCAGAAGTTGACTGTCCAGGGACTAGCTGGTGGGTTCAAGTGGTTGATCTTTGGTTAGAAGCCAAGCATTTAACCATTGCTCCACCAAACCAAAACCAAACCCACCACTATCGAGTTGATTCCGACTCAGAGCAACCCTCACTGGGCTTCCGAGGCGGTAAATCTTTATGGGAGTAGACTGCCCAGTCTTGTTTCTGAGAGTGGCTGGCAGGCTTGAATCGCCGACCTTCTGGTTAGCAGTCAGGTGCCTTAGGTACTGTGCTACCAGACCTCGCTATATCACCAGGGCCCTTTAACTATACCTTTCAAACCAAATCCAACCCACTGGCACTGAGTCGGACTCACAGCGACCCTAGTCCTTCTGAAATACTTGCCCATCTCTAGACCTGGACCTCACCCCTTCCAGCAGGGAGCAGCAGCTGGCCAGAGTCCAGTAACTGTTGGATTCTCCTATTATTTTTCCAGTTTTCCCTTATTTAGGAAAAGGTGTGTCTTATCGTTCCCATTTTTGTTGCAGAGAATTTCCTTCTCAGATGTTTATTTAACAGATCCATGGGAAGGGGGAAAGCACAGGGTTGGTTGTAAATTACCCTCATAAATTAGTTAAGTTCTTGTTCTTGGCAGTGGGTCCAAGTTGTTATAAATAAAGAAGCTAATTAAAACAAGTAAAGGAGGGCCAGCCAGAGAGGATGATAGGTCATAAACTAACAAACACCAGCGAATCAATCAAGAGAGAAAAACGTGAACAGATGTAAATGACACCATCTGTGTTAGTGCAGGTGCGTCAGCTAGAAAGCCATAAGGTGTCTGCTAATGAGGGCCATTGAACAGGGATGTCCGGCTCCCAGGGGACAGGAGGTGGATAGCAACTTGGGAGCCTCGATGTGACTTTGGCCACTGTTGGGGTCCCCCAGGTAAAGCTGTTTATCCGGGACCTCTCAGGCATGCTGGCCAGCCTCCCTCAGGCCAAACCATGACCCAGGTGAGTGGCGGGGGAGGAGAGCCCCTGGGGGGCTGCCCCCTGGAGAGGGGGGTCCCACACTTCCTGTGGGGTGAGACTGGGCGGCTCTCCCCTGACGCATTTCTTCACCTGGAAGAGGGGCGAGGGCTGAGCCTGCTCGTGTCGCTGTGGGGCTTACATGACCCCGGCACACACACAGCAAGCACTCAATGGGTGTGACCCACAGTGACAGTGATGGCAAGATACTATGAGAGGGGTGCCAGTCCCTGAGTCCCGCACCCACCACACAGCCTGGTACCAATGAATTACCTCAGCTGTAAACCAGGACTGGAACCATGTCCTCCCTGGAACCTGGCACACAGCAAATTAAATGAGACTGGAGGGAACAAGTGGAAATCCTAGGACAGTGCCTGTCCACAAGGCCCATCCACCGTGGACTCAGGCTGCCTGAGGGCCGTCAAAATCCAGTTGCTGGAGGCCACCCTGGACCTTCCCAGGACCCCAAACAGGAAAGGGGGCTTGGAGCTGGCTACAGGACAGAGAGCAGGCTGTGACCTCGGGGTATGGTGGACAGCGTTAACCCCTTCACAGCCGAAGGTCTGCCAGAAGAGAGCGACTGTGCCCACTGACCCCAGACCCTGCACCCATCCTCCTGTAGTCCCCTCCCCACTGCAGGCTGTCCCGCAGCAGGCAGGGGGGCCCGCTGGCTTTAGGCTCTTCCACCAAGGCAACCGCCTCAGCCTCTCAGCCTGTTTCCTCATCTCCAAAATGGAGACACCAACAGAACCTCCCAGGGGCTGCAGGCCAGGTAGACCTGCTCTGGGCATGCTCACACGCCCCGTGACTCACCCATCACCACTGCAGCTGAGATTTCAGTTCCTGGGTCTCCCCCTTCCACCCCACGGAGACATGGCAGCTGGGTCCACCAGAGGTGCTCGATGAAGGTTTATTACATTTAAAGAACACGTCCCCAGGCTTCAGGCACTCAGCTAAGACCAAGTGGCCACGGCCTCGGGACCTTGCACGCACGGAAGCAGCAGTCGTCAAGCTGCCAGCTCAGGGTGTGGCCTGCCTGCTTTGCTGGCGAGCTCCTGACACCTTCGAGACCCTGCCGCCATGGCCCTACGACAGTCCTTCCTGTGGATCCTGTGGATGAGCACTCCTCACGGAGCCCCGGCCAGTGCCGGGCGCAGGGCCAGGCGTGCCGCACGAGCTCAGGAGGCGTCTGCCGAGGTCCACCGTGCACCGAGGGGCCAGTCCTGCTCCTCACATCCTCTTCCTCATCTTGCCCTTCTTGGACTGGGTGCCCCGGCCGAAGGCGCCCCGTCGTAGCTCCTGGGCCCGATGGCGGTTGCGGGCCGAGAGCTGCTTGAGGCCCCCGCGCTGCAGGAAGCGCATCTTCTGGGCGCGGCGCCGCTGCTTCAGGATCTGCTGCTTGGTCTTGAGCTCTGAGCGCACGTGGCCTGGGACTGTGCCCGGGGTGCGGGGCTGGGACGCACCTGTGGGAGGGACAGGGATTCCGTGAGCTCTACCTCGGACTCGACTCCCCACGTCTCCTCCTCCTCCCAGAAGCCCCCTCTGCTGCCCTCCCACCCCCATGTTCACAGTTGTGGCCCCCGGGTCTGGCACACAGTTGGTACTTAATAAAGGCTTGGCAGTCTAGTATAGTGCTCAACAGCGTGGAACCCTGAGCTACACCTGCTGGGGTTCAAATCCCAGCTGTGACCTCCTGGACCTGGGGCAGATTACTAATGCTCTGTGCCTCAGTTTTCCCATCTGTGAACTGGGAATAACTGCACCTAGTTGGTGAGGTCCCAATGAGCTGTGAACAAGCTAATACACTAACGTGCTCAGAACAGGCCTGAGCCGGGGCATACGCCTCCTAGGTACAAACACAGGGCTGTCCAGTTGATTCCCACTCCGAGCAACCCTCTAGGACAGAGCAGAACTGCCCAGCAGGGTTTCCAAGGCTGTAATCTCTACAGATGGCGCTCTGGCGGCATGGTGCCCAAGACATCTGACTGCTAACCAGGTTAGCAGTTAAACCTGCCAGCTACTCTGCAGAAGGAAGACCGGACAATCTACTTCCATAAAGATTTACTACCTCAGGAACCCGATGGGGGTCGCTATGGTCAGAATCAACTTGATGGCAGTGAGTCTGGTTTGTCTGGTCTTAATCTTTATAGAGCAGACTGTCTGCCCCATCTTTCTCCCGTGCAGCTGTAGCTGGGGGGCTTGAAATGCTGACTTTTGGTTAGCAGGGCCTGGCCCAAGGTCACACTACACATCAGTATCAGAGCAGTCACCAGCCAGGAGGGCACCAGGGAAGCCTGTCCTTCCAGCTCATGGGAGGGCAATTACCACCTGCCCCGACTCCCCTCTTAGTCCTGCTTCCTCTTCCTCTTTCCCTAGCCAGGCCCCTTCCCACCAGTGACCTTTCTGGAGCTCCCGACAGGATCATTAGGGTGGCCCCAGATGTTTCCACCTGGCCAGGGCATGTGACAGGCACCCACACTTCTGGCGAGGATGGACACATGGAGCAGCAGCTGGTCTTCCACAGCAGAGCCCACTCTCACCTCCCAGACCACCCTCAGTGCACTCACGCCCAAAGTGCAGTGTGCTCCACTCAGCAGAAACCAGGGCTGAGAAGTGAGAGTGGTCAGGAGAGGCAGGGCCCACCCGGGGTGGGGGGAGATACACACACACAGACAAAGAGACACAGGACATACAAAATGAAGGCAACAGACGGACCGGACAGAGACAAGGACAACGTCAGAGACAGACAGACCCAGAGAGCTCCTCAGAGAAAGGAGAGGAACCAGACAGAAATACAGAGAAGGAACAGAGACGCGGACAGGAGAACAGAAGCCAAAGGCAAAGCCGCACACAAGGAAGCCCTGAGGAGGCAGGGGGACCCCAGTCAGGAAGCAAACCCGAGGCTGAGGGATGCCTGGGCCCCAAACACCCCACCAGACTCACCTAGGGACACCTGTGGGGATGTGGGTGGGGTCCAAGTGTGTGGGCAATGAAGTGACCCAGGTACACAGGGGTGTACCCCACATCATCAGACACTCCCGGGCTGTGCGACATCAGCACCTACTGCACCCCTCTGTGCCTCAGTTTCCCCATCAGCTTGTCCATGCCTGCCCTGCCCACCACAGTCCCTACCCTGCTCTTACCTTGGCTGCGGCCCCACTTCCCACGTCTTCGCTCGGGGCCTCGCCGCTCAGACGGACCCTCCTCCTCCGGGTCACGATCATCGATCTTGTGTTTCTGTTTCCACTTCTGGTAGCTGC